CCTCCTCTCCTCCTCTCCCTTTCTTCCTCTCCTCCTCCTCCCTCTCCTTCTTTTCCTTCTCCATCTCTGCCTTCCTCTCCTCCTTTTTCTCTCCCCCCCTCCTACAGGTATGATCTTAGAAGCTTAAATTGGAGGAGGGGAAAGGGTAAAGATTTTGCAGATTTTTGGAAGACGCTTTGAATCTTCCAGTTTAAAAAAAACAAAAAAAAACCTAGGCAGAAGTGCGCCACCTGAGGCCAAGGAGGGGCATGAAAGCTCGAAATATTATTTGAGAAATAAACAGGCCCAGGTAATCTCTTTCTCATTATCCATGCAGAAAACCACAGCGGTATTTCTTCCTGTTAAATTCCTTGCTTTAAGAAGTTAAATTCCCTCCCTCCTTCACTTTGCCCTGCCCTGCTGTTTCTTTGCTCCTTCCTTCCTGCTTGCCTTCTTCCTCCTATTACTCTCTGAGTAATGAAGACGTTTCTTTCAAAGTTTTAAAGGATCCTTACTCCTTAATTTATTCTCTGCTTATTATGAGTTCCTCCCCCCCACCCTTCCAGTTTTAGTCTGGTGGTTGCATTTCAGCGAACAAAGCAAACTGCCAGTCCAAGGTGGTAAATGTCAAATATTGCCTGGGTGATAATCAAGGAGAAGGTTGTTTAGCAACAAAGCAAGTGTGAATTCTTCCCTTATTGAGACCAGGAGAAGTAGCTTGGAAACCTGATAATAGGAGATGATGCCTTTGGGTGATATCTTTTAAGATGTGAAATTTCTAGGAGACAGGGCTCAGAGATGTTGTTGATCCTGGAAATAAACTCCGGTTGCAAATTGCACATCTAAAGCTTGTTTGGCGGTCAGTGGCATTGATTTTTCAGCACGGAGAAAGGGAGGGAAGAAGAGTGAAGGTGGTTGCTTGAATTGAACACATTTGCAGAGGATACTAAGCTGGCAGGGATGGCTAACACCCTAGGAGATTCGGCTCAAGATCCAGACAGAACTCGAACCCTGGGCCTTCTCTAACAAAATGAAATTCAGTGTAGAGAAAAGTAAAGTCTTACACTTAGGCAAGAAAAACTCAAAAGGACTGGGTGAAACCAGGCTTCAATTGCAGTCATTGTGAGAGGGATCCTGGAGTCTTAGTGGACAAGCAGCTAAATAGGAGCCAGCAGTGTGTGGTGACAGCCGAAAAAGCCAATGCAATCCTAAGTTGCATTAACAGAGGGATCCAATCAAGATCAAGGGAGGTATTAATGCCACTCTGTAAAGCCTTAGTAAGGCCACACCTAGAGTACTGCATCCAGTTTTGGTCACCACACTATAAAAAAGATGTTAAGACGCTGGAAAAAGTACAGAGAAGAGCAACCAGGATGATTAGGGGACTGGAGGCTAAAACATATGAAGAACGGTTGCAGGAACTGGGCCTGGCTAGTCTAGGGAAAAGAAGGACCAGGGGAGACAGGAGAGCAGCCTTCCAATATTTGAGGGGCTGCCACAGAGAGGAGGAAGGGGTTAAGTTATTCTCCAAAATGATGTAGGGTCTCCTGCTTGGGCAGGGGGTTGGAGTAGATGACCTACAAGGTCACTTCCAACTCTGGTATTAAACACCATTTAAAGGACAGGCTGAGCCTGTCATGCCCCTGTCAGAGTCTGAATCCGATGAACAGCTGACAGGGATCAGGAGTGTGGCTCCATTGGCTGTGGAGGAAACTGGGAAAGGGCAAAGTCCGGCTGGGCAGAGCAGGGGAGAGGGAGAACAAGGGAGCGGGAGTTCAGAGGAAGACCCAGGCCCACCTCCTCTTCATCCTAGGGCATGCAGGGAGGAACGGAGAAGGGAGCAACGTGGGTTGCCTGGCTTACGGGGGAGGAAAGGGCCCTGATTCCCTTAATTAGCCACACCTGGAAAGAAAATTTAAGGAAGAGGAAGCAGAGAGTGGCGTTTGCTGGGAACAAACGTGAATTTATCTTGTGTTGACTTTGCTTATCTATGTTCCTGGCATCTTCCCAACCATGTTGAGTTATTGCTGTGCCTTCACATCTGGAATTCTTGCTGCTGCCCTGACAGACTAATTATGTCATTTTGCCTTGATTGGACTTGTAGTTACAGTTTTTGTTGACCATGTTTTGGACTTGATTCTCTGCTGTTCCTGGGAGTTTTTCTCCAGCCCAGAAGGTAACCAGGACATTGGGGGCAAAGTCGGAGCTAATAAAGGGACTCTTACTGATTATCTGACTGGGTTGCCTTTGTGCCACACCCGGGCTCATCACAGAGCCTGAGGGAGGGGGGGTGTCAAACAAGTTATCAGTCTCGAGTCGTTTTGTGCACACAAAAGATCTTAAGCCCAGCCTACCTTGAATTCTTCGGATTCTTATCGACCGCCCATTTCCCTCACCGTTAGTAGTTCAGATTCTTGCAAAGAGCTTAAGCTTGCAATCAATGTATTTATTTGGACTGTCTGGCTTTCCTATTTTCTCCAAGCTTGACACATTGAAGGCCGCTTGACATTTCAATGCTGGAGGAGAAAGAGGACTTGAGAAGCCGTCTTTGAGCTACAAAGCCCAAAGGAGCCATCTGGAATTAGCTTGTCATTTTTTGGGGGGGGGGGGGTGTCCAAAAAAAATGAGCGTGCGTGATGGATTCGCCGTACGTCAGAAGCCCCTTCCTCCCTCCCTGTCTTCCCCCCCCCACCAACCCTCAGTATTACGAGACACACCTGAAGAGCTTAACAAATTATCCACTGAAGTGTCAGCTTCTCAAGGATGAGAATACGGTTTTTGTGCCTCCGAGTTTCAGCTTTTGAAAACCGGCTTTGGGATTCGAGCACTTACGAAAACAAATAGGTCCGCGGGAGGATGGCGTTGAATATATCGAGATGGGGCTGGAGACGGATTTAAGTCCGGCGTGCCATGCGGCTCAGCTGGAAGAAACTTACCTTGGAGTGTTTTTTGTTGTTGTTGTTCGTTGCATAGTCATGTCCGACCCATCGTGGCCCCAGGGACACAACGTTCCTCCCGGCCTTCCTGTCCTCTATCATCCTCTGGAGTCCATTGAAGCTCACGCGGACGGCTTCAGGGACTCCATCCATCCTCCTCCTCCTCTGCTGTCCCCTTCTTTTGCCCTCAATCTTTCCCGACATTCGTCTCTTCTTCCTTCCTTCTCATCCAAGTTTTGGTTGCCATCTTATTACAAAAAAGGATGTTGAGACTTTGGAAAAAGTGCGGAGAAGAGCAACTAAAACGATTGAAGGCCTGGAGACCAAAACATCTGAAGAATAGTTGCAGGAACCAGGCATGGCTAGTCGAGAGAAAGGAAGGTTTAGTGGGCCCATGATAGCAGGATTTCAGTATTTTTGAGGGGCTGCCACAAAAAAGAGGGGGTCAACTTATTTTCCAAGAGGGTAAGACAAGTAACAATGGATGGAAACTAATTAGAGAGAATTGAGGAGAACTTCCTAACAGTGAGGACAATTAACCAGTGGGACTGCTTGCCACCAGAAGTTGTAGCTGCTTCATCACTGGAGGTTTTAAAGAGGAGATTTGACAGCCATTTGTCCTAAATGCTATAGGATCTCCCGCTTGAGCAGGGGGTTGGACTAGAAGACCTCAAAGGTCCCTTCCAGCTCTGTTCTGACTCTGATTCCGTGCCCCACTAGTGAACGTTGAGAGCCGCTGCGATCCTCCACACGCAACCCATTTTTATCTGTCTTCAGCAGCAGGCTGGGAAAATACTATTAAAGCACCTGCATTTAGCTAAAATGAAAACAGGACTAGTGCACTGTGGGCCCGTTTTTAGAACTACTCCAGCAGGTGTTGAAAAGCTGCCTTGGTTTAATTATAGCTACTGTTAAATAATGTGTTGCAATAATTAATCGTCAACTCTTGGGCTTAGGAGGGAAGGCGGGGGGGCGGATTGGGACGGGGGAACGTGCCTGCAACACCAGCAGACAGAGTTTTGCTTGTATCTGCTTCTAGACTCTGACTGTTTGCAAGGGCTTTATTTATTTTTTTCCAGTTGGACTTGCGGGGCCTTCCAGAAAAAAATTGCCCTCCCCGAAGGATAAATCTTCAACAGCCGGGTGTCATTCTCCGCTCAAAATTGCACGAACTAATTCAGCTTTTTTCGAGGGCGCTTTCCAGCTTTAATTTAGTGCCTCCTGGGGGTGAACTTAGTTTCTGGGGGCTGTACTGAATCTTGTAAACCATTGTTTTAAATCTACTGCCCTCCCTTCCGTCTCCCCAAATAGACAGGTTTGACTTGATGGTGGTCACCATTGACAGATTCCTGGCAATTTTGAGAATTTACTATCCTGAGGCAGGGCCTGGACTCGGGCATCTCTCAGCCTTAGATTTCAAAGTGCTTTATCAAACTTCTTCTGCTGATTGAGAGAGAGAGAGAGAGAGAGAGCATAGGACCCTAATGTGTTGTCCGATTCTAAAATATTTACTGGAAAGTAAACTGGAAGGAAAGGAAGGAAGAAAAGGAGGAAGGAAGGAAAGGAAGGGAGGGAGGGAAGAAGGAGGGTCTCAACTGGGCTCACCAGGGAGTGAGGAAAGGGACGGAAAGAGCGAACGGAAGGAAGATGGTGGTTGGTTGGTTGGTTAGTTGGTTGGTTGAAGCTCAGAGACCTGGTACTGGGGTTGATCTTATGAATTTGAAGAGACAAAGACCGGAATCTTAAAGATCACCCAGGATCCCCCTTGCCCAAAGAAAAGAGAGGCAAAACTCTCACCAGCTTTTGCCGCGATGCTCAGCCGTGCTGGACAGCTCCTGTTCGGAGAAGGCAGGAGTGCCTCTCAGGGCCCTTCATTTAAACCCATTTCTCTTTCCATTTGCATGATTTTAAGAGACCCCCTTATCTCGACGAACCTTCCTGAAACAGCCCTCTTTCCTTCTCTTTCAGGCAAAACCCGGAGACCACCTTTGAAGTCTACGTGGAAGTCACCTGTCCTTCGGTGGCGGGCACAGGTAAATTCCCTCAGCTGGACTATTTCTAAGGGGTTTTGCTCAGAAGGTCTCCAGAGGGGCCCTTTCACCAGAACATGGGAATGAATGCATCGTGCCTGATTTTACAATATCCTTTCGTCATTAAGCGAATCACGGCACTGGTTAAGTGAATCCAGTGCTTTTTAAGCGGAATTCCCATCGGCTTTGTCAAAAGCTCCCTCTCAACTCATAAAATATTTCTATGGTCCTTTTAGAGTTGCCAACAGAAAGGGAGGGGGGGAGCAGTGTGGCAGCTTGCAAACCGAAAGTGCATTCCGTAAATGTTTTCAAAGATAATAACTAGGTGACCGAAATTTCTACCGCGCAAAATTCTAATTGGAGAACATGGATTGATGGCTCTGGGCTAGGGAGGTGTCCCATTGGAGAATATGAATTAGGATATACCCAGGGAGCGGGGGAAAACCAGGGTCAAGGGTGACAATGAATGATGTGTCTCAGAGTCGGCTACATCTCTGGCAATGCAGACCTTTTAACTCACAATAAATCCTTTTGAAGTTTTGGGAGTTTGTGTCATGCCCTGTCGGAATCTGACTCACAGGGGGTAGCCGAACAGGTGACAGGGAGTGGGAGTGTGGGTCTGTTGGCTGTGGAAGAAACTGGGGAAGGGCAAAGTCTGGCTGGGCAGAGCAGGGAAGAGGTAGAGCAAGGGAGAGGGAATTTGGAGGAAGGCCCAGGCCCACCCCCTCTTCATCCAGGGCACACAGAGAGAAACAGAGAAGGGAGTAACGTGAGTTGCATGGCTTTCGGGGGGAGGAAAGGGCCCTGATTCCCTTCCTTAGCTGCAGCTGGGAACACAGTGTTTAAAAAGGGAAACTGCGCGGAGCAAGTTGTTGGGAGCAAATGTGAATTTATCTGGTATCATCATGGCTTAGCTATATTCCTGGTATCTTGTCAACTGTGTGAGTTTTGCTGTGCTTTCAAGTCTGCAATTCCTTCTCCTGCCCTGTCAAGTTAATTACTTCAGCTTGGTTTGTTGGATTTTAAGTTACAGTTTGTATGTACCTTGTTTTGGACTAAATTTTCCGCAGTCAAAAGCTGTTTTCTGGGAGAACGTTTCTCCAGCTGAAGGTAACCTGGACATTGGGGGCAAAGTTGGAGATCATAAAGGGACTCTTATTGCTTATTTGACTGGTTGTAAGTGCGAGGACCAGACGTCAGTCACTTTTCCCAGCCCCCCATCGTAACTTTGAATGGTCGTAGGTTTAGGGACTGTGCCTCCCCAAATAAAAACCAGGTAGCAATTGAGCACTGCAGCAGATCTGCCTCTGGTTTTCTGGGCAACAGGATGTTTTTGCAAGATTACATGATTATGAGATGGTAAGAAGTAATCCATTCAGGCCTGTTGTTTCTTTTCTTTTTTATATATAAATATTTTTATTGTTTTGTATCACACATTCCATTTCTATATTGAACGGTGCATTTTCTAGGTGTCCAAAGTGTTAAAATATAAACATCCTCACCATCATTATAATCATGTACATACAAACATATATAAGATTAGTATCAATCGTTATTAGAAAGTATACTATCTCCATATTGACGTCAGTTCTATAACCATCAAAACATTTATTAGTCCATTTTTCTTTCCTATGTCCATATTTCCACATAAATCCACTTATGTAACCTCTGGCTCTATCTATGAACCATTTGCAGTAAAGTTTCCATCTTATAAAACAGTGGTGGCTAACCTTTTTGGGCTCCTGTGCCAAAAATTGTGGGCGTGCTTGCAAGCTTGCACTTGCGTGCCAGCACCCAGAAGGCAATGCGTGCCCCCTAAGCATGCACACGCAATACCCACCCACCCACCACCACCACCTCCTTACCTGCACTGTGCCTCACAGCTGATTTTTGGCTGGTTTGAGGCCTTTTTCAGCCTCCCAGAGGCTTTAGGGAGGCTTCTGCAGGCTTTGCAGGCCAAAAACTAGGCCCGTTTCATCACTTCAGGTATTTCCGGGAAAACAGGAAGTGACGAAATGGGCCTAGTTTTTGGCCTGAAGAAGCTTGTAGAAGCCTTCCTCAAGCCTCTGAGAGGCCGAAAAAGGCCTCAAACCGGTCGAAAATTATCTGTGAGGCACGCACATGCGCAGTGAAGTAAGTTTGCCTGCAACTTGCGTGCCGGCACGAATGGCTCTGCGTGCCAATTGTGGCACGCATGCCATAGGTTCGCCATCACGGTTATAAAATATTCCGAATCTTCTTTTTCTTCAATTTTTAGAGTTCACCTATCCCTTTCTGCACCTTCCCTGCTCTTTCTAAGGCCCCGAGGACAACGTTGTGTGTGTGTGTGTGTGTGTGTTTCAAACATTGTACATGTTCCATTTGTCTCTCTTTTTCACACACACACCCAAAAAAGAACCCTTCGACCTTGTTAGCTTTGATATTCTGCAGCCCGGAATAAAATCCTGTCTCTTAAGAAAGAGATTCATCGTTATAGATAAAGGGTGGAGGTAACCTGGTGGAAAAAAACAGCCGTGGGAACAATGGGCCTTCGTGGCTGGGTCTTCTTCGGCCGCCCTCCCCTTTCTAATGGCTTGCTCCGTTTCTCTGAAATAAATCTGACCCCCTCCCTATATCATGGGCCAGAAGTGAGCCCCTGTCTGAATCCACCGATCTCGGAGACGCTCGCCGAAGGGCCAGCCTTGTTAGCGGGTAAAGTGATGCCTAATTTAAAAATAAAATAAGATAAAAGTCCATTTGTTAGTCTAAAGCAACTGATCAAAACAAGTCACCAAAGCTGGGAATGTTTGAAAGAGGGGAAAAAAAAGAGCTCTCAAAAAACTGGCTGGGATTTTGTGTGTGTGTGTGTGTGCGTGTGCACTCCTCCTGCATAAGGGGAGCTTTTGTGTGAGGGTTGTGTGTTAGGGGTGCGTTTGCCCACAGAGGCTTGCAAAAAAAAGACACCAGGATGATGTCAGAAAGCAGGATTGGGTCTCCGGTGTCGCCTGTCCTTTTTATCTTTTCCCTTTTCGTGTGTGTGTGTGAGAGAGTCGCTACACAAAACTCTCTCCCGCGTGGAGGAGGCTTCAAGGAGTAGCACTGAAATGGCTCAGTGCAGGTAAAACCTCCCTTTCATATATATATTTTTTTTCCTCCCCTCTTTAAAACACACAAAAATCTGCACACAGCTCAAGTGAGAAAGTATTTCTAAAGCGGAGGAATAAAGGGCTCCCTTTTCCCCCCCTCTCTTCTTTGACAAATGTTCCCCAGGATTAATAAAAGGAATGGCGTACAACCACAGCCCGGTTTTGCAACAAAGGCATTTAAAAGAGCTGGCAGCCCGGAGTCTCTTCTGCTAACATAACACTGGGATGAATGAAGAGAGGAATCTTCCCCCAGGAAATTGATTAACTCCGAGGGAGTTTATCCTTGTTTGAGAGAATGGGCCCATTTGCATTTGAACTGGCCCTTAGTCTAACTCTCTAAGCCATAATCTGGGCTCCCGCTAGAATAATGGGTATAGACTTGGTTTAACGAAGAACTGCCTACTGCAGCTTTTGACCTCTCCCTAATAGCATCTTCCTTACCTTGGCGTAGATCGCAAGAGTTCTGCCTTTAAAAGCTAACAGAGCTGAGGAATAAAGGTGGTAGGGCTTACGCAAGAGCAGACAGATTTGGGGGGGGGGGGGTTAGGGAAAAAATGGGAGCAACTCTGTTCCTGTCTCTGGTTCTGGCGCAGATAACGAACAGTCTCAAACAAGCGCCTCTTTCTCCTGTCTTGGCCACTTTTTTTTACAGAGGCACCATTGAGAGCTTTTTTAAACAAACTGCATCCCTTTCTGGTTCGGTGGCCGCAGTGCCTCGGATAGAAAGTCCCTACAGAGAGTGCTAAGGACAGCGGAGAAGATTATAGGAAGCTGGTATTCCGTTATTCAGGATGCTGCTTATAAGTGCTATGTGCTTAGAGCTCAAAGCATTGTTAGAGACCCTGTAGCAGTTCCCTATGGCATCTATCTGGTAATCTTTCAAGATTTGTTTTTCTCACCATGTA